TCTCACAGTTACTACTATTGAGCAAGGTACCACATATACTGTGCTTGTGCATTTTGTTTTTCTTGCCTAAATGTAGAACCTTACTTGTTTCATCATTGATAGCTCTGAATCCCTTGTCTTACCATATCAAAACCATACCCTGAAGATCAACATTCTGAAACTGGAGCAACTGGTGCAAAACCAGTAAGAACCACAGAAGAAACGGGTTTCCATCTTACCCAATGTACCAAAACAGGAAGAAAGAGCCGAAAGAGAACGGCGTAACAAGAAAAACCGGATTCCGTACAAGTTCAACTAGATCTCAATTTCTCCTAGCTGGAGGATGAATCTTGGGACTCATCAATCAGACTAATGGCTCCAAAGACATTATCTGCACTCTCCGTGGCCTTAACAGATTATTTTCATTCAATTCTTTGAATTTAGCAGTAATGAAAAGTCAATCAAGAAACAGCTTCAACTAAGTGAAGAACGACTCGAGGTTGTTAGATTGCAAAAGTATTCAGGATTTGTTTCTTATTGTTAAGGAAAAACAGCCTTTGGTGGGATGGAGGTAGAGAAGTTACTTCACATTTCTGATGGTTGTCATCTGCTCAGAAGCTGTTTTGTCCAACACTGAGAAAAAGTGACATGACCATTTTTCACACTTATGACCATTGCAGCATCCCCACAGTCATGGGATCGAAATTTAGATACTTTGCAACTGGCTCATATTTTATGATGGTTGAAGTGTTCCAGCAGTGAACAGAGTAAAGTAGAGTAGAATAGAATCATAAGGTGCAACAATTAATTATAGTCACAGGGTACAAATAAGCAATCAGGAAACAATCAATATCAATACAAATCGTTAAGGATACAAGCAACAAATTTACAGTCCTGCAGTCATAAGAGGGAGGAGATGGGGGATAGGTGTTGGGTCTGATCCCCTTTTGCAACCTTCTGACAAGCGAAATCCAGATTAAGGCCTTAACCTTTAATCTGGACAACTGCTTAATCCTTGGGTAAAACTTGGGTAAAAATACTTCTTCAGAACTGAAGAAACTTCCTGCATGAGAAGTGAAAGTTTTTCTTCCAGGAAAAACAAAGTCCAGTTGCCTTTTGAAAAAGCACCTTTGGGACAACCTGGATGACTGAGAATCTCTATAGACCTTAATCTGGACATTTTTAACCTAGGGCAGTGTTGGCAAACCTGTTCAGCACCGAGTGCCGAAATGGGAGCGCTCGCATGCGCATGCACAGGGGGGAGCACCGGAAACTGGAAGAACAGTTCCCAGGTGTGCATGCGCGCGCCGGGAAGCTGAGCTTCTGGTTTCGGGCGTGGGCATGCATGCCAGTCAGCTGGTCTTCTGGTTTTGGCGCTTGCTTGCGCGAATACTAACTGGCTGGCACCGGAACCCAGAAGAGCAACAGCTGATGGCTGCAGTGCCCAGAGAGATGGCTCTGTGTGCCACATCTGCATGCGTGCCATAGCTTCACGGACCTAGGGACTGCCTGGGAGTTAGTAAAATCTGAAAGAAATGAAAAGCCACTTCTATATTAATAGCAGGAACATGTCCATGCAGTGACCAAGAGTTGATTTTAAAAAAATTATCCTTAAAATTTGAGGTGGGGCGGGAAAGTTAGTAAATATCAAGGGAAGTATGATATGGCTCACAATTTTGGATAGCACTTGCCTTCTTATCACCTCTGCGATATAATTCTAAGATATCCAAAAGTTGCAACCACATCCTTTTTAAAACAAAAACGTTTCACCAATTAAGGAAGCACTGTGTGTTTCAATGTTCAACTGATCTGCATCCTCACCTCTACACTATTCTAGAGGGCAAAACAAGGATATATGAAGGTTTCAAAAGTCCAACAGCTAGAAGTTAGAAGTTAGGAGCCGAGGTGGCGCAGTGATTAGGGTGCAGTACTGCAAGCCACTTCAGCTGACTGTTATCTGCAGTTCAGCNTGCAGAGAAGAGCAACAAAGATGATTAGAGGACTGGAAACTAAAACATGAAGAACGGTTGCAGGAACTGGGCATGTCTAATAATAGAAAGAAGGACTAGGGGAGACATGATAGCAATGTTCCAATATCTCAGGGGTTGCCACAAAGAAGAGGGAGTCAAGCTATTCTCCAAGGCACCTGAGGGTAGAGCAAGAAGCAATGGGTGGAAGCTAATCAAGGAAAGAAGCAACTTAGAACTGAGGAGAAATTTCCTGACTGTTAGAACAATTAATCAGCAGAACAACTTGCCTCCAGAAGTTGTGAATGCCCCAACACTGGAAATCTTTAAGAAGATGTTGGATAGCCATTGTCTGAAGTAGTATAGGGTTTCCTGCCTAGGCAGGGAGTTGGACTAGAAGTCCTCCAAGGTCCCTTCCAACTCTGCTATTGTATTGTATTGAGATGGAAAGTGGTTGTTTCCCTTTGACACTCCCAAATCCTCTTACTGGTACATGAATATCCTATCCAATGGGAAGGCGGTGAGGCTGCAAGCATTCCCTTTGTCACAAAATGTGCTGTTTCCTAAATCAGTTTCCATGAATTACGACTATTGGAATGGAAAACAAAATTCTGTATCATCGGTTTACCTCTATTTCACATCTTGTCATATCATGCTCATCATACCATAGAATCGTGATGGCGAACCTATGCCACAGGTGGCACGCAAACTCCTCTCTGCAGGCATGCCAGCTTTCGCCCAGCTCAGCTCTATCACACATGTGCGTGCCTCCTGCCAGCCAGCTGATTTTTGGGCGTATGCAGGAGACATGCACACATGTGCCAGGGGGTCACGTACACATGTGCGGGGGGGGGGAGCACAGGATCCCACGTGCCCCATTTTTGCTCCCAGGAGGCTGCCGGGACGCCTACTAGACCCAAAACGGGATGCAGGGGAGAGTGCGCTCCTCACGTGCCCTGTTTTTGCTCCCAGGAGGCTGGGAGGTTTACTAGGCCCAAAATGAGGCACGGTGACATGTGGCACGCAACAACAAAACATTTAGCCATC